ATAGCCAGCAAAAGGACTAGGGGTTGGAGTCAAGGCTCATCCTTGCACAAGGTTCAGGACTCAGTCTAAGGCCAAGGCTTAGTTTGGGGTGAGGGTCCGGGCTCAGTCCAGGGCCAGTGGTAGGTGAATTTTATTCTTCAGTTCACGGCACAGCCTGTACCTGGGGGTCAAGGGGTTGTCTGAGTCTGGAGTGGGGGCTCAGATTGGGTCTGAGGTGGGGGCTTAATGCGTGTCTGCCTTGGGGATCAGTCTGGGGTGAGGGGTAGGTCTAGATCCAGAGTCAGAACTAAGGGGTGAGTTTTGTGACCAGAGGCAGGGGAGATTAATCTGGGGGTCTTGTCATGGCCTCGGAAGTTACTATATCTCCCTGTGGTCAGGACATCAGGCCTCCGGGGTCCGGGCCCCTAACGTCACAACGGACCCCCCCTCTGCCCAGCCCCAATCAGCACCTGGGCTAAGGTGGCCCATCCCGTGGTTCCAGACCTTCCTAGCTGGGACTCGGAGCTGGGGGGAGGAAGGGCGCAGCGCCTTTCAGTCTCGGGATTCGCCAGCTCCTCCAGTGACGTCACAAAGAGCTAGGTCCCGGCCCCGCCTCACCTGGTTACATAACCTCGCCACGGCCGGATGCCCTCTGTCCCAGTAGTCACAATAGGGGGGCCGACAGGGATGGGGCCAGGAGACCGGAAATGGAGCAGGGCTGACCCCACCTCCGCCCTTCACCCCAGGATCCCCCTCACCTTCTCCCCAGCCCCTCCTTTTATCCCCCTCAGTTATTTCCAAAGCTCTTCCTCCTCAATCCCCTACCCTCATTCTCTCCAGGGTCGTCCAGGCCCCCCCAACCGCATCTCTAATGTTATTCTGCTTTTAGTCTCTCCGCGTCTCTTTAGATGCGGATGGCCCCCGTGTGTGTCTGACTCTCTCTAGCCCACTGTGTCCATCTCTCCTCTCTGCCTTTGTCTCTCTGGCTGTCTTTCTCCAGCTCCCAGTTTCTGTCTCTGTTTCTTTATCTTTGTCTCTCTCTGGCTGGCTCTGTCCCTGGCTCTGGCTCCTCGGCTTCCCCCTGTGTTTCTCTCTGGCAGTTTGCATCTCTTCTAGCCCTTGGTGGCTCTGGGTGTCTCGAGACTGTCTCTGCGGGTGAACCCAGCTCCAGTGTCTGTGTGTCAGTGTGCCTCCCTTCAGTTCTGGCTCTAAGCTGTTCCCAGGCTGTTCCCGGGCCCCTCCTCCTTCCCTCCTGCTGCCGTGGCCCAGAGACCCAGTTCGCAGCCGCCGCGGTGGCTGAGGCTAAATATTTGTCTCCTAGCAACTTGCAACCGCTGCCGCCGGGCTGGGCTGGCCAAGGCTGGGGCAGCCCCAAGGAGGCCGGCTGGGCCGGGCCAGGACTAGAACCTGGACGTCCTGTGCTGGGCAGGCCTGAGGGAAGCCGAAGGGGGGGAACCGGAGCGGGAAGGAGGCTTCCTCCAGAGACACACACAGTGAGAGAGAGAAAAACACTGAGAGATAAACAGACAGAGACGCAGGCTCCCAGAACAAGAGAGACACTCAGAGAAAAACAGAGATAAACAGAGAAACGGAACGGGATGACAGGAACCCAGGACCGCTCAGACACTGCAAAACCAGAGCTTTAGCGGAAGGCTTGCTAGGCTTAAAGGCAGGAGGGGAGAGGCCTGGGCACCCACTCTGTTCCTAGTGTGTGACCACAGGCACTTCCGGCAGCCTCTCTGGGACTATTTCCTTTAAAATGGGCACCTTACCAGCCACACCAGCTTTCCCTGCTGAGGTGAGGATGAGATGAGATAATGCAGGGGAGGTGCTTAAAGGAAGGGCTAGATAAATGTCAGCCAGGGCATCTCTAAGGTCCCTTTCATAGAATATCATAGAGTATCTGAGTCAGGAGAGCAGCCTTAGAACAGAAATTCAGAGCTGGGAGGACCTTAGAACATGAAGTGTCAGAGCTACGAGGGACCTTAGCACAGAGAATGTGAGAGCTGGGAGGGACCTTAGAACAGAGAATATGAGAGCTGGGAGGAACCTTAGAACAGAGAATGTGAGAGCTGGGAGGGACCTTAGAACAGGGAATGTCAGAGCTGGGAGGAACCTTAGAACAGAGAATGTCAGAGCTGAGAGGGACCTTAGAACAGAGAATGTCAGAGCTGAGAGGGACCTAGAATAGAGAATGTGAGAGCTGGGAGGAACCTTAGAACAGGGAATGTCAGAGCTGGGAGGGACCTTATTACATAGAATGTAAGAGCTGAGAGGGACCTTATTACATAGAATGTCAGAGCTGAGAGGGACCTTAGAACATGGAAAGTCAGAGCTTAGAGGGGCCTGAGAACAGGGAATGTCAGAGCTGACAGGGACCTTAGAACAGAGAGTATCAGAACTGAAAGGGGCCTTAGAAAAAAAGAAATTCAGACCTAGAACCTCATAGACTGTCAGATCTGTGAAGAACCTCAAAGCACAGCATACAGACTATTAGAGCTAGATAAATGCTTGCTCAGGCTTGGTCTAAGCCAATGATTTTACAGAAAGGGAAACTGAGGCCCAGGACCCAATCCACAGAGCTCTGCAGATGCAGGCTCGAAGGTGCACAACAGTCCAGAAGCAGCTCTCCCTGGTAGCAACACACCCAAACACCACGGGGCACAGAGGCACTGCAGGCAGGAACTTGCATTCCCCAACACACCCACTTACAGTCTCGGGCATGTATTAGAGGGTGTGAGATGGAACACACCCACAAGCTTCACCCCCTCCCCACACTGTTGTTTGGAGTTTGTTATTATACATGTTTTAAGATCACAATGGGCCACTGGGAAAAAGAAAGACAGAGAGAGAGAGAGAGTTTGTTGAGGATGAGGAGAGCCCAGCAAGGACAGAGTACAATACAAAATGTCAGAGCTGGAGGGAGCCTTGAGAGGGATTTAACATAAGCCTAACCCTGTAATTTTATGGAGACAGGAAACTGAGGCCCAGGGAGGGGGAAGGGCCTTGTCCCATGGCCGCACCAGATGTTAGTGGAGTTGTAAGATATAAGTCAGGGAGAAGGGGAGGGGGGTTTCAAATTCTGGGCCAATTCTAGGCAGGAAGATGTTCACACACCCCCCTTCTCATCCCTCCTAGCCCCTCCCCAGCCTCATACAAATGTCCCTTCCCCCTCAAATCAACATTGACACACATTTGAAGTCACACGCAGCCCAGCGCTATTGCTCACACTCACAGATGGAGGACAACACACACACACACACACACACATACACAGATTACTCCTTCCCCTCAATGTTTCTAGTTTCCTGCCCCTCAGAAACTCTTCCCACTGTCAGACATCAGATGCTGGGACTCAGGGACATACACACGCTAGTACTCCAACACCAACACCCCCTCCAATGTACATGCACTCAGAGAGACATGACCTCTAAATGATATTTCTGTCTATCATCTCTCTTTTTCTCTCTCCCTATCAAATTATGCAGAATGTCAGATCTGAGAGGGACCAGAGAGAGACCTTATTCACTGTTCTCCCCATTTTACAGAGGAGCAAAACTAAGAAGCATAGAGATGAAGAGGTCCCAAGGTGATAATGGTGGAGCTGGGACTGGAATGGAAGCAAATCCCCCCCCCCCCCCCCAGCATCCCTGTCGATCAATTGCTCTGCCACTCCAGTCACTAGACGTGTCACATCCCTCACCATCGCCCATCTCCCATCTCCCTTATCTGGCTCCCTGTATTAGAATGGAAACACCTTGAGGACAGGGACTATCTCTAGTTTGATATTTGTAAGTCCAGTGCTAGCACAATGGCTGGCTCATAGTAGGTGCTTAATAGACATGTTTTCATTCATTCTTTTAATTGTCAGTCCAAGGTTCTGAAATTTAACCCCTAGAGAACATTGTTTACTGAATTAACATTAAATAAAAAAATATGACGGGCAGCTAGGTAGCCCTGGAGTCAACAAAATCCAGCCTCAGATATTTTATTATCTATGTGACCCTGAGCAAGTCACTTAAGCCCGATTGCTCCCCCCACCCAAAAAAAAATCATCATTATGTATTATTTGGAAACTTTATAGCACTATACAGGCTGTCCTAAAAGTCTCAGTGAAGTTTTAAACTTCACTAGCTTAAAGCTTTTTGGACACCTTGTATAAGGGTGAGGCGGGATGTGGTCTGGTGGATAGAGAGCAGGGTTCAAATCCCACCTCTGACAATTCCTGGCTATGACCACGGGCAACTCGCTCAACTTCTGGGTGTCTCAGGCAGCTAAGACTAAGCTAAGACAGAATTACTAACAAATTGCCAGGGGATTTCCACACCAGGAGTTCCTTGGGTCAATTAAATTACAGGTCATCGTTTAGCATAGTGCTCGGCATATAATAGGCATTATATAAGCATTTGCTTATTCTCTCCCCCTTCCCCAAATATTAATGATGTTCATACACATGGTCTCATTCTGTTGAAGATGAACCAGAGCATCCATCATTTCGTAACAACAACTTGCATTTATCTAGTCCTCTAAGGCTTGCAAATTCTCACAACCACCCAAAGAGGTAGGTGCTATTATTAGCCCCATTTTACAGATGAGGAAACTGAAGCTCAGAAAAGTGACAAGACTTGCTGGGGGTGGGATTCCAACCTCCTGACCAAGGTCCTTCACTTCCTCATCGAAAGCTGGTGGAATCATAATAACACACACAGCTCTGAGGAGGAAATGAGATAATGCACCGGAAAGCATTTTGTAGACTTGAAAGTGATATTAAAATGTCAGCTACTACTCTTCTCCTTTCTCACTCTCAATCCAGGCCCCTAGCCAACAGGAGCTAGAGTACCTCTTAGTATACATAACCACGGTTGAACTACAGACTATTTTCGAGTTCTTTCTTATTATATGCACTATTATATATATATATATATATATATTTCTGTGTATATATAATATATAGCTACACCCACTATACTCTATATTACAGTACAGAAAGGTAAGGTATATACCACATTGAACAGAAAATGTTTAAGTAAAATTACTTTATAGATGCGTGCATTATTTTTTATGCATGTATGTGTGTATATATGCATATCTATTGTCTAATTAAAACACAAAGTGTTCCTAAAGTCCTAGGGAAGTTTCGAAGTATTAAAACCTCGCAGCAGCAGGAGGCCTCTCTGTATGTGTATCCTGAATTAGCCGAACTGTACAACAGGAATATACAGAACACAACTTGGTCGCATGCATTGAACGCTCATTACAAGGCAAACTACTTAATCATCGCCTACTTGCTACGAGGAGATGTAAAGAGTTTCTCTGGCAAATGACGGGAAACAGCATATAGGTGACGCATAGCCCACAAAAAGCCTTTGAGCCTGATCTAGCCGGTATACCTCCACTAAAGTCTCTGATGCCTCATCCCTCCTGGTGCCTGGGAGGTGACCCTGGCTTTTTCTGAGGTGACACCTAGTGGAAGTCCTAACAAACGAGGAACCAGCCAAGTTCTTAGAGACTCATCACCAGGTTGGCCGGCAGGTGATGAATGTTTCCGCCCACGACCACTCTTGGAAACCATCTGGCTAAATTGTCGAGGGGCTGCAATCTGAGTCAGTGGAGAGATTGCCCACACCGATGACATCGTAGATCCTTGATGTAAGGAGGCATGGTGTGGGCACATGATGATGCGGTCGAGAAGCGTAGAGCTGCCGGCAGAAACCCCTGCAATCTAGGATGCTTCCTTCCTAGAAGGCAATGCCCACAGTGGCCACTGCGAAGCCCGGTGTCACGCCGCACAGAAGGTGTCACCCGTTGTGTAACCTAAGCTACGCGTCTGGGAATGCCTTTAGCCCAGCATCCTCTGCAGGGCTCGCTGGCTTCCATACATCTACGGGGGGAGGGGGGAAGGGGACGGGGGAGAGTAGGTGAGGCCCACGGTCCAAAGGACTGGCCCTGCAGCCACCACAGCTCCTGGCTCCGCGCCGGTCCCCAAGTCTGGGGCTCTGAGAGCGCAGGGCTGAGGGGAGGGGGAGGTTAGGGAAGAGGGCGCGACGCGCCTGCGCGTTGGAGCGCAGGCACACGGGGTCCCGGCGTTGCCCCGGGCAGCGCCGCGCGCCCGTTGCCAAGTAACGTCAACAAAGCAACCCTCTCTAGCCGGGTCCGCGCGCTCCTCCCCCGCCCCCCCCGCCGTCCCCCGGACGCGGTGACGCGCCGGCCCCGGGAACAGGCGCCGTCGCCTGGGCAACGCAGGAGTTGTTTGTTCGGAGACTCACGTGGTCGCGCGAGCCCGGGCCGCGGCCTGGCGGGGGGGGGCCGCAGTGACCCCCCCCAGCCCCAGTGGGGCCCCGGGCCCAGCCCCCTGGTTACAACCCATCCCTCCTCTCCCAAGGCTCCCCTGCCCCCCCGAGAGGCCCTCTCGGGAACCCCGACAGGGACTGTCCCCTAGAGTCACCCACAGTCACACACGGTCTCTCTCTCATACACACACACTCAGAGTTACACGGTCACAGCTAAACACACCAACTGCGCACCCTCCCAGGGACACACACACGCACCCACACGCGCGCACGAGCGCGCGCATACACACGCACACATCACTACCACCACCACCACCAGACACGCACCAACGCGCACACGCACGTCCTAGACTTTCCTTGTCACACACGCAAATTCAGATTCCCGGTCTCTCTCTCTCACACACACACACACACACACACACACACACACAGCAGCCCAGATGAACAGTCCCACACAAAGACACCGACAGGAGCGAGATCCCATACGTGCACCCATCCCATCACCAGGCAAAGCCATGGTTCCCTTCCCAGCCCAGAGCAACCCCTGGGAGAGTGGGAGGGGGCGCAGGAGGGGAAGGGGAGGTTGAGACAGACCCTGCTCCGGCCGCGGCCCCTCCGTCCAGTCCCTCCTTCCTTTCTTCATTCTTCCCTCCGCTGCCAGCCTGGGCTGCAGCGAACGCAACTTCGGGAGCTCCCCCACCCTCACTGCCACATGTGACTGGGGCCCGAGCCAATCTGCCTTCGCTGAGAGAGAGAGACAGAGACACAGACAGACAGACAGACGGACAGAGACAAAAACAGAGAGCCAGAGATAAAGACAGAAGCAGACAGAGGGAGACAAAAACAGAGAGAGACAGACAGAAACAGAGAGAGAGAAACAGACTGAAAGAAAGAGACAAACAGAAACAGACACAGAGACACAGAGAGACAGACAGATGAAAATAGAGACAGAGAAAGACAGAAGCAGAGGGACACAAAAAAAGAGAGGCAGGCAGACAGAAACAGACAGAGAGACAGAGATAAAAATAGAGACAGAGAGACAGAGAAAGGCAGAAGCAGACAGAGGGAGATGAAAACAGAGAGACACAGACAGAAACAGACACAGAGAAATACACAGGGACAGAGAGAGTCAGAGAGAAAGACAGAAACAGACAGACAAAAACAGAGACAGACAGACAAAAACAGAGACACACAGACAGAGACAAAAATAGAGGACAGAGACAGAGATTCAGAGAATGAGACAATGAATGAGAGGAAGAATGAATGAGAGACACACAGGGAGAGAATAAGAGAGGGAAAAGGAAAGCAGGTAGAAGGAGGGGAAAAGAAACAGAGACAGAAAGAGAAATCTTGTGTGGCTGTGAGCGATACAAGTTTTTTTGTTTCGTTTGGGTTGTTTTGGCTAAGCAATGGGGTTAAGTGACTTGCCCAGGGTCACACAGCTAGTGTTATGTGTCTGAGGCTGGATTTGAACTCAGGTCCTCCTGACTCCAGGGCCAGTGCTCTGTCCACTGTGCCACCTAGCTGCTCCAGATACAGGTCTTTTTGCCACCAAGTCCAGAGCTCTACCCATTCTACCACACTGCCTTTCATCAGTATTCTACATTGTATATGCTGCTGTCTACCAGATTCTGCTTTCGTTGACGCAGTTACACAGATAAGACAACAGCACAAAGCAAATCTGTTTTAAAGTAACACAATGGTATAAGATAACATAACAATACACAGTAAAACTGTTGTGTAATGGAGAAGAGGAAAGCCCGGTGAGATGGAAAGAATGCTGGATTTGGTTCAGGGGTTAAGAGTTAAAATCTTATCTTGGCTACTTACTCTTTGCCATGACCTGGGACAAGCCATTTAATCATTCTAGACCTCAGTTTCCCTGTCTGTAAAACAATGGGTTGGTTTAGAGGTCTCCTGCATCTCTAAGTCTCCCGATCAGAAGTGGACAGAAAGGGGAGTGTCAGGAGGCTAGAGGTTTTGCCAAGAACCCAGGGCCAGGAGCAAGAGAGAGAAGGGGTAGCCCCTTGCTGCCTGACTCACCTCGGCCATACCTAGGCCCTGACATCACCCTGTCCCGGGCAACCCCAGACAAGCCAGACTGAATCACGGCGAGTGTCCCCTCCCTGCCTGCCACAAGCCACAAGCCTCTCTCCGCCTCCTCCACCTCCTCATGGTATGTCTGGCCCTCTGGCCTGTGGGCGCCCCCTCACTGACCTCTCTGCTGGCCTGGAGGGTAGCGTGAGTCAGGGACCGGACCACCCCCAGCCAACCCCAGGAGGAAGTTTGTGGCTCAGGAGGAAGAGGGGCGGGCCCCTAGAGGAGCTGGGACAGGGAGGAGTAGAGCTTCTGGGTCTTGGAGACGAAGATAGCCTGTGATGTGTAAAGGTGTGTGAGGCTCCCAGAGCAATCAGGAAGGCCCTTCAGAGATCACCCAATTCAGCACCGCCCCCACTACTGTGCATGCAACAGAAGCAGCCCGGAAAGGGAAAGAACTGGGCCCAGACCTCCCAGGGAGAAAGTGCCAAAAGTGAAAACCTAGCAGGAAAAATGGGGATTCTTTTTTCTCTCAGTGTGCCTGATGCAAACCACCATTTCTCTAGCATCAGAAGGTTTGTGAAGCATGGCCCTTTCCTAATATGTCTGTGTGAGAGAATCATAGATTTAGTATTAGGCAAGACCTTTGAGATCACCTGGTACAAACCCTGGATGGACATAGTGCAAATCATCACCATTAGCATCATAGCATTTATATGTCATTCAGAGTTTACATAGCACTTTACATATATTAATTTATTTGGTTATCACAACAATCCTGTGAGTTAGAAGCTTTTTTATCTCCATTTGACAGAAGAGGAAACTGAGGCGTAGAGAGGTTAATGACTTGCTCAGGATCACTCAGTCAGTATGCATCAGTTAAGGACCTACTATGTGCCAGGCTCTGGGCTCGTGTCTGAGGCAAGATTGGGGCTCCAAGTACAACTCTTTATCAGGCCAGAGGTGTCAAACATGTGACCTGCAACCTTCCGAAGCATGTCTAGAACGAGATTAAAATGTAATCCCTATTTGATTTCAGTGTATTGTGATGTACCAATAAAAAAGAAATACACATAGAAATGTGTGGTTGTCTAATCAATATGCAGTTCACAGGGATCCTTATGCACAATTTAGTGGGCCCTATTTCTATTTGAATTTGGCACCTCTGTACTAGGCCATTGTTATCCCCATTTTACAGAGGGGAAAATTGAGGCTCAGAGTGACTTGTCCAAGGTCTCACAGCTAATAGTGTACTATATTTACTAGCATTCTAGAGCAGGGCTTCTTAATTTTTTTCTACTCTCAACCCCTTCAGCACTTTTTAAACTTAAAAGAAGCACTTCTGGGGAAAGGGGAGGGAATAAACAGATTTCACACACACACACAGTGCCTGGCATGCAGTAGGTGATATAGCTATCTATATAGGAATAGATATATCACATATATCACCTACTATGTGTCAGGCACTATACTAAGCATAGTCTCCTAGCAACCCTGGGAAGTAGATGCTATTATTATCCCTATTTTACAGTTGAGGAAACTGAGGCAGACTGAAGAGAACTGACTTGCCCAGAGGCACACAGCTAGGCCGAACTTGGGTCTTCCTGATTTCAAGCCCAGCACTATATCTACTGGGCCACCTAGCTGCCGAAGGTTTGCCAATTGCTTGTCTATATTTTGACTTCTGTACATGCTTCCTCTCTTTGATTAAAACATGAGTTTCTTGAGATCAGGGTCTGTTTCATTTTTGTCTTGACATTCCTAGTACCTAGGAGCTTCATAAATGCTTATTGATCAATCGGTTGATTTTTCAACGTAGATGATCTCATTCGATCCCCACAAGAACCTTATGAAGGAGGAAACTACAGGAGTTAGGGTTGTAACAGAGTGAAAAACTGAGTCTCAGAGAGCTTAACTGGTTTTACTCATGGTCACACAGCTAGTTAGCATGAGAAGTAGGATTCAAACCCTGGTCTCTCCTACTCCAGGTCCAGTACTGCCACAGAATCAGAAGAATGGGAAAACATAATACCCAAACTATGGGAATAACAATGGGGAAGGGACCTCTTGGCTTGTAGGCTCATAGATCATTGACTTCGTGCCTCTCCAAGGACAGAGACGTCAAGATCTCCCTCTTGATTTTCCCATCTTTCCCCGGGTCTCACCACAATCCCTCTGGGTTCCTCTTTTTGGTCTGTGCACGCATGAATGGGGGAAATCGACTAGCCACTGGTCACGTCTCTCTTCCTTCCCCGACGTGTGCTTTGGGAATAAGGAGACTTTGGCTCCAGTCTCTCTGCTCTTCGACTCATTTACCAGTCATGTGACCATGGGCAAATCCCTTTTCTTCCTCTGAGCCTAAATTCTCTGCTCTGGATAATGAGGGAGTTAGAAATAATGGCTGGTAAGGTCCCTTCCAGGGCTAATGTAGTATGGAAAGTCATCACAGTGATGTGTCTCTCCTCTCCCACCTGCCCTCCTAACTACTCCAGTCCACGAAGAGTTTTTCTTACTCTGAGCCCTGAGAATGAAATGAATAATAATAACAATAATAAAACATGCTCTACGCCCCATTGCATAATAACCATGTTCCATAACCCCCATTAAAATAATGCCCATTTTTTCTAGAGGTGGGATGCTATTGTGTAAAGGTGTGAAATTGAAAGTCAGAAGATATGGATTCAAATCTTATTTCCTCCTCCCACTGACCCCCCAAACTTTTTGCCTATGTGACCTTGGTCTGATTACTTGACAGGAAACTGGCCTCAGTTTCTTCATCTGTAAAATGAAGGTACTAGACTGAATGACCTCTAAGGTCCTTTCTGGCTCTTCTCTTATGAGCTTATAAGAGCTTTAAGGTTTACAAAAGGCTTCCCCAGCAATCACTCTGTGAAATCGATAAATTGCTATTCTGATCTCATGAAGAAAAAATCTGAGGCTTGGAGGAGTTTGATGATTGCACTGTCTAGGGTCACACAGCTAGAAAGGGTTGGTAAAGATGGGTTGAATGAATCTCTCTCATAGAAATATTTGTGTCTCTGAATTCTCTTGGACCAGGTGGAAGGGGGCCAGTAGACCTGATGAGTGAGAGCTTAGATCTTGTAAAGTTATGCTCAAACTCATGCCCAACAGGCCAGACCTGCTGACACAAGTTCCTGCAAGTTAGCTCCATAAGCACAGAAACTGACCTCAACATTTCTAGCCCTCTTAGGGCAAGAGGACTCTGAAACTGGGTAGGAAAATTAAGACTTGGGTTTCTCTAATGTAAAATAATGTCTTGGGCTCTAAGGGCCCTCCTAGCTCTGATATTTCATATCCTATGTACTAACATCCAGCCCTAGTGCTGCCATTCTGCCTTCTAAGCCTTCTATGTTCTGTGTTCTAAGAGCCCTCCCAGCTCTGATACTCTATATCCTTTGTTCTGAGATCCTTCCTGGCTCTGGCATTCTTTTATCAGAGGGTTCTCCAAGGTCCAAAATTCTATGTTCTGGGTTCTAAGGACCCTGAAAGCTCTGGTATTTTATGGTTTGTGTTCTCAGCATTCCAAGATTCTCTGATCATTGTCAACAGCATTGGGCAGTCTTCTTTGGGCCAACACACCTCAAGGACTAATCTACCTAC